TTATTTTAAGAGCTTGACTTGAACATATCAACCAATAATTATTGATCAACACGCAATGAAAAATTCGTAAAGCGTCGAACTTCAAAATTCTATCCTCCAAACTCCTGTTTATCATATTTTGACCCCAATAAAGATTTGGACTCATACTACTTGAAAATGAAATATTTACAGCAATGTCTTCTTTCATTTTAATGAGCAAAAGCCCCTATTTGTGTATACATGAGATTTATTAATTATGGTAAACAGATAGTTAAGCGAAAACGTTATATGTTTCATTTACAGTCTTCTGATATTCTACGACAACCTTACCGTTGAAAATTGATCGTAGCGGGAACTACAGTAATTAGCGTTATGATCTTCGATGTCTAATCTCGGGCAATCTGCTTGCGTTAAATTAGTCGATCAAACTTCAAAACCTATGTTTGAAAAAATATTCACATGATTTTTAAATTTAAAAGACATGGAGATGTGATGCAACGCATGTACGGGCCAGGTTAACATGCAGGTTGTTGAGGTATATGACAATTTAAAAATAATAAACATGACCAGAAAAATAATTGTAAAGTTAAGACTGCTTATAAAACTTTAGGCAGGATTATGACGCGTTATAAACTTTCCACAAGAAGTTCCTGCATTTAGCTTAGTGGCACTTACAAATATGTGGCAAAAGCAATAAAATATATATGTTAAGTTTAAAAAAATCATCCAGTAAAATAGTTAAACTCGCCTGGATTATTTTTGAAAATTGGATTATTCAGTAGACCACATATTTAACGCCATTCGTGAGGAGTAGTAATGATCCAAAAGCATCCAGAATAAAACATGCAGTACGGTAATTAATTCCAGGGTCCTTGGTGCCGCTGACGTTTTTGTCACTTGCTCGGATCAGAACAATTGAATGAATCCAGATAATTGTGTGGTTGCCACTGAACAAGCCATCTAAGATGACCTTATGATTGCGGAAAACTTATAGCTGAAACTCACCGTATGTTTTTGTAGTAGTGTCATCCTTGTTGTTTGGCAATGGAACTCGAGAATTGGAAATTAGGCAGGCAGTGGTCGGAAGAAAAAAATATTATAGGATAGTGCATAGTTTAAGACAGAATGTGTTAAGTGAAGGAACTCTAAGAATTAGATCCAGATAACTATTTAGTCCTTGATTGCATGGATAGACAAGGTATATTGAGGTTATTTGCAGGTCATATTTGCTAGAGCTTGATGTTAAAACAAGTTTATTTCGCTGAAGCATATAAATGATACTAAAGCTTGTTAACGAACCATCAAAAGCTAATTAGTTAATGTAGATGACCAGTTTTTATTATTGATTGAGCTAGTAAGTTATGAGAACTAATCAACATAACATTACGATAATACACATGAGCATTGATCAGAGGACTATTAAAATAATGGGTTTACATAAGTAAATATCGACCGAGAAAAATCAAGTGAAAAAGAGAAAAAATAATAAAAGGTTGCATTTCCTTAGTCGGGCTCACCAGTGTAGAATTATGGTCTACTATGATATTAGCGCTGCTCTAATAATGGACCTAATCCTAAAATTGTAAATTTGTTATGATGTAACTGTCTAATCTATAAGATCTTACGCGGAAGTCACATCATCATCTACACCAACTCACTGCATCGTAACAATTGCCAATACATGATAGAGAACAATCTTAGGCTAGAGATAGGACAATATATTTAATATGAATAAAAGATATAAGGTAAAATTCAGGAGGGACCACGCCTGCATGGTCGAGCCATGCCATAAGATTAACTCTGAGTAATTCAATCCATTCTCCCCGCCTTTTTCATTCTTCTGTATTTCTCCGCGTTAAATGTTTAATGTCTATTTCTCATATTGTCTCGTGGTAGGGCCCAATGCCACCACAGTTGTTCAACTTTTACATATCAAACGCTCCCCTGCTCTCTAGTGAGCCGCCACATGAGATTAGAGCCCTTGATGAATTTTGAGTTTCCTGTAATATTTTTGTCCTCGATTTCTGGAGTTCTGGTAGCTGTATAATATTGAAGCTGAAAAATTGAATTTAGGCTCACAGTGGGTATTTCAGTGTTACTTTTATATATAGATTGAGAGTAAGGTCCTTCCCATCTAAGTTAGATGGTTCCAAAACGTTTTTGACGCTCCTTTTCTCCTAAACTACTTACTAAATTTGAACAAGTTACTTATCTTATTTTAAGAGCTTGACTTGAACATATCAACCAATAATTATTGATCAACACGCAATGAAAAATTCGTAAAGCGTCGAACTTCAAAATTCTATCCTCCAAACTCCTGTTTATCATATTTTGACCCCAATAAAGATTTGGACTCATACTACTTGAAAATGAAATATTTACAGCAATGTCTTCTTTCATTTTAATGAGCAAAAGCCCCTATTTGTGTATACATGAGATTTATTAATTATGGTAAACAGATAGTTAAGCGAAAACGTTATATGTTTCATTTACAGTCTTCTGATATTCTACGACAACCTTACCGTTGAAAATTGATCGTAGCGGGAACTGGCAGCGGTCCAGTGGTATCGCGACACTTTTTTGCGCTACTTCTTCATTTCTGCTTTGTGCGCAGCCAAAATTTGAAATTTATTATAATTAAATTTGAAAAATCATTTCCCGTCTTCATAATTAAGTGAAAAGGGGTTTTTTCATTTTGTCTTACATGGTATCGCGAAGTCCTTGAAAATCCATTAATCAGGTGCTGCTATAATAGTTTTTTCATATTTGCATCGCAGATTGGCGATTATTTCTACCTAACTATACAAAAAGAGCAGAGAAATCGTTTATTTTTATATGAAATGATATTATCTAAGCATTTATTGTCATAAAAATTGTTTTGTCGTCAAGGCTACCAAAACTGCGTTACAACTAACGATACCATGATAACATTTATCGTTTTTCCCTTCTGTATTACAATTTTGGCTGATTTTCACTGTTTTGTTCGACTTTTATGGCAGACATAGGCTAATAGTGAAAATATTAACTGTTGTTAGTGTTGTCAATATTATGTATATGCTGTAGATGGTTATAACACATACCAATATGTTAATATCACCTTCTACAGTTAGATATATAAGCTACCAAATCATTATATTGCAGGAAATAAATCATAATCATGCGAGAGAGGTACAATTATGTGGAGATTTTACCAGAGAGTAAGCTAAGATTGCTTTATAAAGCTAATTAGCTTAGAGTTAGTATATTATCTCTTGAACAGAGTTCCAATGTTCAGGCTGCCGGTATTCTTGCAAAGATAGCCAATAGCAGAAATAAGTACGATTGGGTAATCAAGATATCTTGATCTCAGGTGACCAGATTGTGTGAGATCGTATATAATGATCTTCGAAAATTACCGAAGGCCTGGCTAACTTATATGTTGATGCCGTAAATGACAATTAATTATACCTTGCGTGAGACTAAAATAAAAAAGGCACCAATAATTGCAGATCATACAAGACGATTCAAAGTAAGTTCACATAGCAGTCTTTATATATATATAAAGCAAATAAGCGTAATGTACCAAATGCACTCTCGATTTGTAATTGAATACCGGTTTCTCTTTTTATATAAGTTTTGGGTAAACATTTATATTGTAATAGTTATTTCCTGTCTATCTTATTTCCAGCTGGCTTCGCAAGTGTTCACCGACCTAATTGGAACAATTCTTAAGAACTGGAAGTTATTCATTAATGGATCATTTTCGTTGGATTTCAACATTAATAAACGTTCTCATTTATAATACATCAGTGTTTTAATTACGGCAATGCTTACCTATCGTGACAAGTCAAATTTCGACCTAGTAGTATAGTAAATCATGTTCAAAGTTGCAGTGTTTGGTAAACAGTGCGTATAACTAATCGCGTGTGCGCTAAACTGGTAATTATTACACAAGAACGCGAAACAACATCCCTTTTTCACAGCGACATAAGACTTCACAGTACACTCTCCCTACCGTAACGCTATAAGAATGAGTTAATGCCCATATAAATGAATTTATGTAAAACTAAAAAGATTACAATATTAGAACTTCTTGTCATCAAGAAGCATAGCTATGGTCAGTGTTAACAATGGATTCTGACGATGTAGCTTCATCATTAGCACCGATTGAACTCATCACTTGTGCGCATATGTCTTCAGATGCTTCGAAGCATGAACGGATGAGTTTACTTGCCAAGGGTTCACTAAGAGCATGGATTGAGTGGTAGTTGTTAGTGAACTTCTCTAGCAGATCATCACTCCCGGTAGAGATTGACATGTTGTCGAGCGCACGAAGAACCAAGTCCATTATATATTTCCTTGTCCACCGGCTGCTATGTCGAAATAAGTCTACAATGCTTATAGAGACAAAAGAACACACACTTACCTCCACTTATTAGATCTTTAGAATGTGCATACAGAATATGACCACAGGGTAGCATGTAGTCATTGAAACGCTCACAAGCACATCGTGCACGTGAAGTATCAACAACATACATCATACCCTTGTCGTAGCACCGGATGTATTCCCCTGCTATACATTCGTGTCTCATTGACCTAACACGTTTATAATTTACAGCTACAATTTTAGCTGCAAAAGATGTGAACTCATTTAAAAGAGTTCGAAATGACATAGGAACCTGGAACTAATGAAACATTTAACTATATTTCTTACCTCAAGAATTGGAAAACGTTGAAGATCCTTCACAGCGTCATATGGACGCAAACGTAGGTCAGTATCTGTTTTGCTCCAAATTTTCCAGAACGTCAATGGCAGAGAATCACCTCTTCTAAGACATTCTTTTAGATGTTTATGAGCACTTTCGACACGGTTGTTCGTGTGGTTACCCAGGCTTAATACATGTCGCCGGTAACAGCGGGCCCACATTGACTTCCGGGCAATCCAGTAATCTTTGATGTAATCATACGCCCGTGGGAAATGGATCCTCAGATGTTCGTACTTTTGAGTAAATCTTAATATAATGCGTTACGAAAAACGAAGCTCACATATCAGACCGTCTAGTCTTTACAAGGTGTTCCAAGCATTTACGTACATCAGGATTTCGGAACTAAAGAAAATAATTTGTACAGCTAACACTTACCTTCCTGAAAAATGCTCTTAAGACATGGAATGAACAAAGTACTATGTCGGCATGATTGTGCGTAGACTGCACTGCTGAAATTTCGGTTGCTGCCGAATCCATAACAAAAGTGCGTGTATCATAAGTACAGCACATTATATCTTTGAAGCATTCCAATAATTTTACGACATCTCGTCGTTCTTGCCTGCAAAGAGCATACATAACAGTGTGCCCTTGCCCAAGACTATCAGTCACCACTAGCTGGAACAGTGGAAAACTGTAAGATGAATTAATTGCTATTCGTTACTTACCCAACTTTGTTGGTCTGATAAGTCGAGTCAATACATACCACCTCTGGGAACGCGTGGTAAATAGATACCTGCTCCCTGCGACTGAAGCAAATCATAGATATGTTTCCATGTTCACTGAGTACTTTAACTTCAGTGTTTGCTTGAACGCGCTGTAAAATGTTATTGATATTTTTGGTGTCTAATCTCAATTAATTACAATGTGAGTTCAACAACCTAGGTACAACTGTGAACGCATTTTACAGATATCATCCTTGGTAAGCTGTTTATGGAACTTCCAAGAAACCAGATGCCGTAAACTACGAGTCGGCGTATTACTCATTAGAAAAGTTCTTAAATATAGACGTTCACTTGACGTCAACTTTCTTCTTGAAGGATCTACAGAAATATATCCTTCTGTGCAAGGATGGTTGTGCACGGTCTTGATAGAGGTGACTTTCAGCTCACCATTTACTGCACGGACCCAAAATCCAGATTGACAATGACAATATTTCGACCTGAAGGATAAATTAATTTGAAGCAAAGCATACGTAGATGACCGACGTCGTCTTCTTTGTCTAGGTTGTGGGGGTGAGTTAGAAGTTGTGTGCTCTTCGGAAGAATGATGATCACTATCATCACCTACATCCTGAACGCAAGCATCTGACTCTGACGAACTGCGTTTACGTCCATATGTACAAACATATCTCACGAAAAGATACTTTAGATTTGGGTCATCATTGTTCTTTTTGCATACTGACATAACGTACCTAGTATGCGTATACTACAAAAATAATCATTAACCACAGAAGTCATATTACCTTATGTACTTCTTTCAAACAGGTCTCAAAATTGTCCCAACTTGTAAATCTCCGAGATAACATGATATCATTGAAGATTGGTCCTATATCATGCATCATAACGATGGCATCATCTTCGTTACTTGAAGGATGGACGTTATCAGACATGGTGTGGCTGAACTCAATTCAAACCTAAAAATGCCTTGATTTGACCGCCTCTGAAAAACTTCACGAGTTGTCGATGTCACGCACCAATCATGTTGAAACAGTTTGACCTTCAAGTGCTCGCAACCTCCATCAGTGATTAGCGTTATGATCTTCGATGTCTAATCTCGGGCAATCTGCTTGCGTTAAATTAGTCGATCAAACTTCAAAACCTATGTTTGAAAAAATATTCAATTGTTCCAACTCATGTGCAACACATTCTGTCAAAAGAATTCTATCTGCAGCAGAGAAACGTAGTCGATACTTCCGTCGACTTTTTCATGTTAGACACATGGATTTCGAATATGCTCTATGGCAGATGTGGCAACTCTTTGTTGGACCGCAACGTGTGTTCAGGAATTTCAATTACCGCAAATGTATGTACATCGTTTATAATATGTAAATACCTCAGGTTCACGACAGCAATGGGCAAGAGATGATCCAGCATTTTTAGTCCTGATGATGGTTTTCTTGATCTGTAAGTCTCAATAAATTTTCCCTAACTTCTTTTGTTCCGTTTAAAATACTGTGCGTTTTGATGGAGTTTATGAGTTTTTAAAACGTCCTTCAGTAATAAGGGTAGGAGGTCTATCGACCTGTATTAATCCTTGCAGTTTGTAATACTGTGGAGATCCAATCTCGACTTGAAAATATCAGCAAAAGGTGCTGATATTACGTGCTCCAGTAGAGAATTCCAATAATTCACTACTCGATGAGAGAAACGAAACTCCAGACGTAAACGATTTGATCTCGGTTTTTGAATTTTTTTTCTAGTGTCCTCTCAAACGATCAGTCCTAGACGGAAGTAAAAGATAGGACATGTTAATACCAAGGTCATCGTTCAGTATACGATAAGCCAATATTAGATCAATCCGTATTCGACGGTAAGATAACGGAAATAATTTGAGGTGTCTCAATCTGTCTTCATAAGATAGTCCAGATAGACCTTGTACCATCTTAGTACCACGTCGTTGGACTCGCTCTAGCATATCTGCTTCATACTTAAAACAAGCACTCGCTGCTTGAATTCCATATTCTAAATGTGGTCGCATATAAATAGGGTATAGCAATCTAAACATTTCATCATCTAAATACTGAAAAGACCTACGAATAGACCATAATAACCTATAGCCTTTCGCAGCAGCAGCCTTACAGTGACTAGTGGTTTTGAGATCACTACTTAATATGACTCCCAAATCTTTATAGTTTCTTACTTTGGGTAGTACGAATCCACGTATTGTATAGTGATACGATTCGTCATTGTTATTTAATTGCATCACCACACGTATTAGGATTTACTTCAAGTGACCACCTATCTAACCATGCCACCAATGAGCTAAGATCATTCTGTAATACTATTCTATCCGACATATTGTGTATGGGTCTCCAAATTTTTATGTCATCAGCGAATAGTAAAACGGATGATTTTACTACAGTTGGTAATTCATTTACGTAAAGTAAAAAGAGAAGGGGACCGGTGATTTTACCTTGGGGAACTCCACTTTTTACAGGTAGCCACGAGGAAAGAGCCCCATTAACCATTACCCTTTGTCTCCTGCCATGGAGAAAGTTACTTATCCAATCTACCACTTTATAATGGATTCCGAAGCGTTCCAGTTTGAATTTAAGACCAGAATGGGAGACCTTATCGAAAGCCTTACTTAGATCTATGAAGATCACATCTACAGGAATATTCTGATCTTTTGCAGCAGCCCAATCTTCTCTTGCAATGAGAAGATTTGTCAAGCACGATAGGCCTCTCTGAAAACCATGTTGTTCCCTGGAGAAAAGATTATGCCTTTCAACATAGTTTATAACAGATATCCAAATGGTTTTTTCCATCAGTTTTACAACTGCACTAGTTAAGCTAACGGGTCTATAGTTACTTTATTTATTTATTTATTTTAACACATAAGTATAGGTACAGGGAGGCACCAAGTACATATGCGCCACACGAATCTCAATTGATTTGTGTGAGGGCTGTGATACTGCTCGGGTGCCCAAACCGAAGCAGGTGGTTTTCTTAGGGGGCCACACCCCGAGCCTTTGACCTGAACGTCTGATCCACAAGGCAGTGGAGCATCGTGAGGAGATGCAGTCCCATGGTAGCCGGTGACAAACGATTGGTTCATACGCCATTTGTTCCTTCAGGATACTGGAGCCCATGTGCACCATTGGTTTGGGGTCCGGTTAAAGCGCCGGACATTCGCTTTTCGTCCTCTCATTTTTGCAAACAACACCCCCGCCACGAGAAGGCAGTGAGTAGGACTTCCCTGGCAGAGGCTATATACGCGTGGCCATGTGAGAGCATTTCGAGAGGGAGAGCGGACTCTCCCCACTCTCGGCTGTACCAGGGCATTTGGGGGCTCTATAGTTACTAACTAAATCCCTACTCCCAGCCTTATACACCGGACTTATTATAGCGTCTTTCCAGTCTCTGGGCAGTCTGGACTGCTTCAGAGACATGTCAAACAGTATCGCTAAAGGTTCAGCAATTACATCTGATATGGCTTTCATAATCCTAGGATGAATATTATCAGGACCACTGGACTTATCAGGCTTGATATGCTGATGTAGCCTTAAAACAGTACCTTTCTCAATGACCACAGGATCCATCAGCGAGCCATTACGATCATAATGAATCGTTGGTCGTACCTCGTTAGTGATAGAAAACACTTTACTAAAATATTCCGATAAAGCTTCAGCTTTTTTGGTATCGTTTCCTGCCAAGATTAACGGATTTTCTTGTATCAAAAGTGATGGAATTCCATCACTTCTCTGAGTTCGCCTTTTTATATACGAGAATAACCGTTTCGGACTATATCTAGAATCCCTAACCAATTGCTTTTCATATGATCGTCTAGTTTTACTTATTAAAGTTTTACAGGCATTCCTAGTCTTACAATAACTGGATCGGTATTGTTCTAAGCCAGTAGAGATTAACATATTCCAGTGCTTTTTCCTCCTTCTAAGAAGTTTCTTAACTGGTTTGGTTATCCATGGTGGACTATTTTTCGGTTTTCGCGGTACCAGGTATGGTATGAACGAGAACGTATCTAAACTAAACTTACCTTTCAATGCAGACCATGCTTCTTCAACTGATAAGCTAGTATCTACAAACCAATCTGTCTTAGCAGCGCATTCCTGAGTGGCTGATATGTTAGCTTTCCATACATTTGGGCGGGGTATGACCTGATCGTATAACATATCCCTAGTTCTAAACGAGAATGACAAAACAGCGTGATCACTGTTCACTAACGGTGGGAGAACATTTAGGTCGACAATATCTTCAGTATCATGAGTGATTACCAAGTCCAACAGAGAAGAACCTTGGTTAGCACCAAAACGTATAGGTTTGGATACATGCTGCACTAATGCATGCTCCATTATTGCTATCAAGAACCTACTATCAAAGGAGTTTATAGATCCTTCTATGGTCATTTCAGTCCAACTAATGTCAGGTGCATTAAAGTCTCCTATTATCAAGCATCTGGCATTGGTACTCCAAAGATGAATGTGCTCTAAAATAAAGTCATCAGCTAAGCAGATTGGGCTGCGATAGATGACACCGAGCATAAATGTACTACATCCGATATCCAATTTACAGCTAATGACTTCACAAGTACCGCTATATTATTGGCTATATATAACAGGACGCCACCTCCTTTTCTACATCTATGTCTATCATGGACTAACCAAGTTTCTGTCACTGCTACAATTAGTGGCCTTAATCTGTCCATTAATGCTTCTAGCTCATAGAACTTATTTCTTAGGCTACGAGCGTTGGCATATAAGACTCCTAGGTAGAACGGCCTATCCACACAGGCCTTGGTAGCATTCTCTTCCAAGACCTGACTATCCGAAAACCCACTAACCGGAGATTTTCCTCACCATTTTGTTGGCGGATTTCCAGTTCAGCCAGTGCTTTCTTTCTTTTTATTCTATCTTCGAGAGACATATCAGGTCTAACTCGGATATCGGAATTGTCGTGACAACGAGCATTACTTAACAGGAGATCCTGTTGCTTCTCTGATCCTAGGATTACCTTAAGGAGTCTGCATGGTCGAGGTTCAGCATTGTCCTCGGTCCTCTTGCCTATTCTAACCAGCTTTTTGACCTGGACTCCTTTAGAGTTATCTGGTAAGATACTACGAATATATTCTCCCAACTTCTCTAAATCATGCGCATGTCTAATTTTGGGATCAGGGTCGTTTGACTCCAACAGTTTGCTTACAATAATATTCGATGATATCAGATTCTTCTTTTCAGTCATGCCTGGGTGGGTTTCCCTCTTACTATCGGATTTCGGTAGTGCGTTTTGTGACTCACAATGGGAGTTCACCAATGACTTGCTAACCATCTGCACACTGCCCACAGCCTTTTTCTTTTCGTTTCGTTTTCTCCGTACTGTAGTCCATTTTTCATCCCTCAGGACGGTCTTCAGTTTTCACTAGAGGTGCATGGTTACCGATGTCACTTTCAAGTGGTGCTTCTTCCCTCGTTAATGTTAACGGAGATTTCACTTTTCCGTCAATCAAATTCGGGTGTTTAAGGCGTCTTGTAACAGCAGGTACTACACTGACACATTCGTCACTGTTAGTGCTCGTGTTATCAGCGCATGCGCTATCGTTTTTCTTACAGGCCAAAGCCAATAGGCTCATAGCCTCTTGTATTAGTAACGTCTTATTTGCACAGCAAAACATGCAAAGCCAATGTGAGTTAGGCTTCGAACATCTTTTGTACGCAGTGGGACTTAAACGAGTGCACATCTTATGGAACCACTTTTTGTATTCATCACACTGCATTCCTTCCTCCACAGGGAACAAACAGTGTGGTTGTCCACATTTGTGAGTACTACCAACCATTTTAGTCAGATCAGGTGTATAACACAAAATGATCACTAGTGTCAGTCAATGAGGAAGAGGATACCACAAGACAAACCTTAGCAAGATTTGAAACCTTAACTAAAGTACTTTAATATAGACCAAGAATGCTTTTTGATGCAACAATTACACAAAAGCAAGGATAATCACAACAAGTACAAAATCACTGCCCTTTTTGAACACGCGCCAATAGTTGGTCTGAGAGCAGTAATACATATCGCCAGATTGTATACATTCTTTATAAAGGTGGTACATCATGCAAGACACAAGATAGATAGTGCAAGGAAAGCATTTAAATTTTACATACTACCATTTTGTTGGCTTATTACACCAACTGCAATAAATATGTTTTTACGTATTTTTTGAGGTTGGCTTCACAATAAAACTGAAATAATATTTTTTGAGTAATAAATAATATTGTCGTCCAGTCTCTCTAACTGTAGTGGCTAAAACAAGGTTCAGACAGGTACTTAATAACTAAAGATCGGCTGCTTTGACAGTTATCCTGCTGTTCCACTGAATCGCGAATAATTTAAAAACATCATTTATTCATGTTAGAATCCCAACTGTTTACTCGGTTGATTTTAAACGACTGAAAAGACGCGTTTCTGAACATGAGAATGTATTTTTGAGTATACTAATCATGAGTTAAATCTCCCACATGTCACAGATGTGTCATTCGTTCTTTTGTAACTGAATTAGTTTCAGGTAATTTATTTAATTTACATGCACATCTATTCAGTTATAGTTTTTGTTTTGTTTTGTATAAGAAACTTGTTGAAACGGTTTGTGTTGATAATAGTAAACCCAAGTTTATATTTCTTGAAGGTTGCTTAAGATACTCCTTGTACCTCTAAGTTACAGTATTTTCTTTATAAGAACTTTATTTATATGAACACATTAATATTGGTACAAAGAGGCACCGAATACATATGCGCCACCCAAGACACTTGATTAGTGTATGGGCTGGTATACTGCCCGGGTGCCCAGACAGGAGCCGGTAGTTTTCTCAGGGAGCCACACCTGGAGTCTTCAACCTAAAGGTCTGACCCACAAGGCAGTGGAGCATCGTGAGGAGATGCAGTCCCATGGTAGCCGGTGACCAACGATTGGTTCATACGCCATTTGTTCCTTCAGGATCCTGGAGCCCATGTACGACATTGGTTTGGAATTAAGGTTTTCCTACTCCCCTCAGTGGATTCTCTCTATCCTTCGACCCGATTAAAGCGCTGGACATTCGCTTTTTGTCCTCAATTTCGTAAAGAACATCCCCGCTGCAAGAAGACAATGAGTAGGACTTCCCTGGAAATGGCTGTATACGCGTGGCCATGTGAGAGCATTTCGATAGGGAGAGCCGACTCTCTCCACTCTCGTTCGTACCAGGGTATTCGGGGGCACTCGACTTAATAACTAGTACAGAGTAAACTGTTATCTATGCCAGTTTTATTTCGGGTTGGCCTTTTTAGGCTACTTGTGTAATATTCTCTATTCCATAGCCTAAGGTTGCTCACTTTGATTCTGAGTAACGACCCGATTTCATCACTTTCTGCAGAAATAGTTTCGAATAATCTGTTATTTTATCTATCTCCATATGATACACTTCATTTTCTTCGGACTCTGATGAATTGATGTCTGACATCATACAGATTCTAAAAGCCCTCTTTACAAGTGTTAACTTGTGGTATAGACGAAATGTTTATTTCCAAAACAACATGAGAGCATGCTGCGCAACCTCTCTACCTTACTTCAATGCTGTAAAGCTTGATCTTTATATGTAAAGGAGATATGATGGTTACAGGTGTCCAGTCATAGGTGCCCTCGAAGCATTGCTGTTGAATGTTAAGACGTTTGAGCAAGCAATGCTATTGTTAGACACATGGTACTAGGCACTCATAACAAATCACTTGATACGATTACGAATTTCCCTTAACTGTGATGGTTGAAATACGTATTTCATATGGCCAGCTACCGCCCAATGTTCACAAGAATAGGAGAAGGTTGTAGAGAAGCTAGGGACAGGCAAATCAAGAAGTACTATCAGTATGCAAAGTCACTGCCTAGTGGTCTGTGACGTGTTTATAAGTAAAGATCTGATTAATGCTCCCTCAAGTATTGTCATCAGTTGTTGAAAACGTTGTGACGTGGCTCAGGATCAGTTGCAGTGGGGTCACTAATGTCACCACTTCTTTGATATTCAGTTTGTTAACTTCACCTTGCTGTGCTGATGTGATGTTGAAACTTGGGTCAACGCACCAGGTTCTATGTTGATTATGACTAACAACCTTTGGTCATAGATTGTTATAGTTAGTAATTTGAATTGGATGTCATAATACAGTAATCATATTCGGACTCCCTATGTTAGGCACAAATGGGATATTTCAAAGATATTATTTCATTCATGTTACATATCCATTAACGAGTTGGAAAGTGTGACAACGCAGTTTATTGCTAAGATCATAGTATGACTAATGCATACTAAGTTAAGGTTGTCAAAAGCAATGTTGACGAAATTATTATTATTATTTAAAATATAGTTTGATGTTACAAAAGAATAGCAACTAAAATAACTTCTAGCTGTTTAAACTTCAAATGCAGTCAGTTGTTTTATTTTTTATCTAATTCTGTGACAAGTTACCGTATTGATTGTACCTTAATTCTTGTAGATTGATAGCATTGTGTTTAAATAGTTGTTTTTTCATTCGAAGACTTAAACTCGATAGTCATTTTTGATACAAAGTCAGACTAAAAGCTATTACTCATTAACACCTGTCCTATTAAAGCTTTAATCCCACTGCTTCAACTTCCAAATAAGTACTTTGTCGATCATTATTCACGAAATACATATTTAGCTCAAGTTTACTTGTTTTCTCAATGAACCGTTGTAGGCTATTCACTCCAAAATTCTTCCGACAAATCTAAATAATTGCTTCATTTCTTACTACACTGTAGTTACTTCGTTGGGGTTTGCCTTTTGTATGTCGTTAAATGCAACTCAGTCAGTTGAGTTCGTCCTATGGGTCGTATTCGTCGACTTTATTGCAATTAGTCTTCTCCAGGCAACATTCTTTTGGATAATTACAAATCATTTCTTCGTTGATTCATCCAAAAATCGTTCACAACTCAATACATTGGGACCTTTTATTGAAACCAATCCGGAAGTTGAATGGGGATACGCCTTTGATGTTCATTTAAATGGATTTTTTCCGGCATTGTGCATTTTGCACTTGTTACAGTTACCTTTTCTGTACAGTAGGTTTGCTAAATCCGAAATTCTTTTGATTTTATTTGTTCCCAATATGCAATTTCTCGACAGTATACCCATACCCAATCAAGCAACTATATATATATATAATTAGTTTCTGAGACTAAAAACCAGAGCTTGATTGCACCACGCCATATCAACAGTTGATAACTTAATGGTTTATTGCCGTTTTTGTCTAGTTGTTCCCAACCTCTTTTGTTAGCTGAAATTCTACATTGTAGTAGACAGGTGTGTGTTCAAACAGTCTAACTGCCCCATTTGATAGAGGTTTAGTTTAATCGACCGATCACTCTTATTTTGTACTTTATGCCTTATCGTTCGCACTAATTGCTTGATTACACCGTACTCAGAAAGTGTTTAAAAACATTTAAAATCAAATAGTAGTAACTTATACATGCCCTCTACTATGGAAGGGCACTTCGTACAACCACAAAGTATTGCATAGTTGACTACATCAAAATACTATTTGATGTACTTACTTTTCCGATTTAGCAACTTGTAAATAACTGTTCATAACATTTTATTTCAAATTTGGTTGTATAGAAATTCTTCAAATTCATGTATGTATCAGAATTCATATTAATCGAAACTGCGTACGCATATACCATACAATATTAACATAAAGAGCAAGTAGCCATATCTTATCACCACTTCACTTTCTTCAGCAGATTAGAAACTAATAAATTATTGTCACATATTTCTTCCAATATTTTTGACTTATATCGTTTTTTCCTTAAATATCTAGTTATTCTCCAAAACTGGTTCATTGGGAGGTTACTGGGTAATACTTTTTGGTTGACGAGTTTCACTTACTACACCTACATCACATTCTTAGGTTACCGTAGTAAGTTCACATCACGTTTTCATCTGTATTTAGCCAGTCATTTCTTGATATTCTTTATCAAGACTGTGTGCAACTACCTTAGAAAAATAGAATCACTGTTATATTTCATTTTATCGTAACTGTTAACTGTGAAGTTAGTTATACGTGGTCGGTTAGGCGGATTAGTAAATTTGTTATTTATGGTAGAATATACAAAACATTTGTAAGTAAAAATGTTCCGATTTTTCAGTATGCGTACTTAACTTTCAACCACTCGACAGAGACCGTTATAGTTTTCGAAAAAATGGAAACGACAGAACGAAGATATTATCAAATGGGGAAAAGAATAAAAGTAAACATGTTGGAGATGAAATGTCCGGACCTTAACTGGTTAGATGTACTGTGGTTAGTCCTAAAGTTATTAATAGATAGGCAGTGAATAATAGACATATTTGATAAGGTTCGTTCGTTGTTGAGTCTTTCATACAGTGAATATCTGAAATGACGTTAAGCATACTTGCTGCCATCCAGATGCTTATTGAAGATTGTTTAGGATGGATATCATATTTGACACCAAATATCGGGTATTGGATGTTACAGTTACACATGACCAATAACAAATAACATTTCTTGTTACATTTCAGCTTTACCGTTTCTCAAGCGCACAACAGTTCTGTTGTGGCCAGTAACAGCTGCTATCGTAATTTACGTGATATCGCTTATCATGAAATGGAATTTCACACTTTTCTTATGTCATTTCTACCAGTTCCGTTTATTTTAGTGAATGATTGCAAATTTGTTAACTGTGATACGAATTAAAGAGAAATACTATGTTCTCTGATTGTAAATATTTTTAAGAAGTGATGAGCTGTAATTCCACTTGTTCGAATACTGGATACATGATTATGTATAGTTCATAGTTGTTTGCTGTTAATATTTATTCATGCATATCTGGACTGGATACTTTTGTATAATTTATTTTATTTTAACATTGCAAAGATACTGAATTAATAAATATTTATTAATAATCATGCAGCATATTTTTTCGTAATGTCTGATGAGAAATATGCAGTTAAATAGTGATTTATAGGCAATTCAAAACAAATTTAATAATGGCAAGATGCTCTGAAACTCAAAGTCCGAAGGTTTAAGAGTGGCTTGAAAGAGATGTATTAAGTTAACACAAAGTAATCGCTAGATGATCAGTCGTCAGCATTAATTAAAGAACGTTTATTAATAAAAATAATAAAGCTAAGAAGGTGGAAGAGTTTCTTTTTAAGTCGGAGTGTAATTAGAAAATTTTACAAAACACCAGCGTTGTTGGGAAATCAACGTAAAGTAATTTGACATTAAAAATCGAAAATCATAGTTGTAAGAGGAAATATTCAAAGTACGTTTCCATTTAGACCTTACCATTCGTTGGCTACATCGTTTACAGTGTGTGCACACAGGTGGGGACATTTAGACCAGATATTCCGTACTTCTAAATAACACAGAGTGAACTTTTTAAAAGCTCGGGATGACCAGAGGAAACTAGACACTTAGGAATTGAGTTTTTAGTTGTTAAGTGGTTCATTTTATTGATATACACACCAAAATGACATTTCCAATTCTAGCCTTCTCAGCATCTATGGCAAAGAGGGTCCTAGTGTAAGTTTATCATCGAGTCAAGTGTACATAGCTAGTATAAGTATTGAAAGGCCCACTTCGTCAAACGTCGAGGGATTACATTTTTTCCGAAAAACAGCGCATAAATAGGTAGCTTAAAATAAGCCACGCCAAATGGATAACTAAATTTTACATGTACGTTCATGAAGAATGAATGGAAAGATAAGTTTTGTTTCTGTTGACGCTCCATATTTTCCCATTGCTTGACTATCCATATATTATTTCTTGGTATCTTGAGCTGTTTTATCTATGATACCATTTTAAAACACGTACGTTTTACGACTAAGGTAACAACACTAACTTTCATATTTTTATAGAAATAGTGACATAGATTATGTGAATTTACCTATTTACAGCAAATCAATACGGTTTAAGCAGATTACGTGAGCTTCGACAGAAAACTCCCGACGAACTATCGAATTCTCCATTTGCATAAACACTTCAAAATAACTGCAATTAAGTCTTGATAACCTTGTTAATAACGCAACAACTCTGTATTTAAGCGTACATTACAATGTATAAAATGATTATAAATATGTTTGTACAGCATTAGTAAATGGCATCGTCGAGAGAGGTTTTTTTATTGAATCGTTTTAAGTTTGTTCAGTGTTTTCTTTTATTCAGTAGACAAGTATATATCTTCAGAACGACATTTATTATACTTTTATCTAATCCAAACTGCCTATTAACTCATCTGCTTTTAGTTTAGCATATCTTATTAGTGATAAGCTCAACTGTTGTCTGTCTATTCATAACGCGTTACAGACAATTTAGGTATTAAGTTGATTCAATGATCAAGTACAGATCAGTATACTTGAAATCTTTTAGGACATTTTGTGTGGAAGCTAGTGATATTGCCTGTCTGCTCAGTTTGAGATAGATAGAGGGGAACTTAAATTTGCAACTTAGTAACTGGAAGACTAAGTCAACTATTATTATCATTATAATCTCACCTCCTAAACTGCATAAATATTGTCACTAGGAATTCCTCCAATGTTTGGTCTCATAGATATGTGTGTCAAACCGATAGTTTTCTTTATTTTTTAGTACAATATCCAAGACTTTCTTTTGTTAATTCTATTAATCATGTGACTGATTCAGTGATTTTGTTATATTTTTTACTCCTTGAGACTTCGCATCATATATATAGTGACATATCTAATTAAAATTGAATAATTAGTCCAAGACAAAGAAACAAGAAATATTTAACAAAAGAACAACTTTATGTACAATCGCCAATTGCTTTGCTAGAATCAATGTGGTGCTCTGTTTGACTTGAGATCCGGTAATCTTACGGGCGTCACCAGTTCAGCTACCATGTTCAATTCAGATTTGTTTTGAGTATTTTCAACTTTTGAACATTTACATCCCAAATATTGGAAAAATTGAGTTAATCTAAGAAACAAAGAATAAATCCCCATAAAAGTGTCTAACTAAACACTTAGATATAACAGAGATAAACCTGATAACACGAATGACATCGTACACATCACTCAACGATTCCCAACAAGAATAAAATATTCTGAACAATCTGAAACCAAATAGCACTAGTAAATAATGGAGATGACTGTCCATAAATATGTGTATCTAGAAAAGGAATTGTAAGTCCTGGGGACTACGCTATAAAACGAGAGAGCTGACTTGATTTGTCCGTAAAATTCTTGCCTACAACAAGAGTATGAAGTGTGATATTACCCATGAACCAACCTGAAACCTTCAACATTATTACCAAATCAGTGACATTTAAGTAATATCGTTCGCGAAGTCAAAACACTGGAATGAAATGTAGTGGTTATTCATGATGAGAAGACTAGTCGACGAAAACTGAAGCAAAAACTATAATTTATTATTACATGAATATCTACTGTAGGGCACTGGGTGCAAAGAAATGAAGTAAGAAAAAAGTCCTCGGAGCAGTAAATCGGATGTGTACTATATTGACAAACTTGGATTTACGTTAAAATTTTCTATCTAAGTTGACAGACATGACACACTAGTGGAATACAGTCTAAAAGGGATTTAAATTATCGCCCCACAGCAAAATAGGTAATGCATTGGTCAATAATCACTTCTCACCACATTTATTAGATAGTCGATTTATGAGATATATATCATCTGCTATCAAAATTGACAAACTGTATACAAAATAAAGCACCTAGTGTCGAAGGAAAGTGGTCTTTATTCGTAAAAGGTATCTTAGGACCTCAAGTATATAATAGACTCAAAGTTAACTAAGCCTTATACTATATAGATAGTTATGGGTTAAAGTTGCCATCTGAAAACAAGGTTTGACTTGATAGCGCCAAATGTCTTCATTATTTTCGCACTTGGTATCTTCATACTGCTGATGGAATGTAGTATACCTGGTGAAAACTCCACCTGTATGGACTATGAGAAGTAATGAGCTATCATAAAAATAGTGGATTTCATGATTCATCAGTTGACTCGCATGATACAAATACATAGCAATTACGTGAATAATATCGAAAACAATTAGCTTGTATGTGTATAATAGTGAAATGCAATACTAACCTTTCACGTCCAATTTTGAAGTCTACAGTTAAACTATCAACCATCGTCTTAAAATTGTCACAATGAAGTATCAGGACTAACATGTGCGTAATCAATTTATCACGAAGCATCGGTGACATTGCGCTAAAGTATTACAAAGAAAATCAGAATTCATAAATGGAAAACAAAAATGAAGTAAATAGCTACAACTAGAGTGAAACACCCGAAAGTCCATTTATTTTGGTATTTGTTGTTTGGACCTTGGTTTGGAACAATCACAGATCAATGTTACAATATTCGAATCAGTTAGCCAAACATTTGTGAGGAAAATTATCAACTTTATACCATGAACGAGGTTATACTTAATTACTGCTAGGTCTCTAAAGGAGATAGGTATAGTAATTAATAGTGGTGTTAATAATTAATTAGCAGGGGCTTTTTCTACTATTGGTAGTGAACCCCAGTGAATAGATTGGCTTATCGGAATAAAGGGCTGTCTAAAATTCTGGGGAATGTACAGGGGATTCATCTAGTTTTAAAAAGAGATATTTCTGTAGGATAAAATGAATTTGATGTACTTGACAGGTTGGTGTACAGACTGCCACTTTCGCAATTTAGCGTTAGAAATTTTTCTACATGGAAGTAGGGATGAATACTAAAATAGAAGTTTGGGAAACTGTTAATGACCACTGTTAGGGTCTTTGAAGTCGTGAAAAGTGATATTTATTTTCTTTAAACACATAAACATTAGTACAAGGAGGCACCAAATACATATGCGCCACACTTCGCCATTCGATTTGTGTGAGGGCTGGCATACTGCCCGGTCGCTCAGACCAAAGCAGGGGGTTTTATTAGGAGGACACTCCTCAATCCGTTGACCTAGAAGTATAGTCCACAAGGCAGTGGAGCAACGTGAGGAGATGCAGTCCCATGGTAGCCGGTGACCAACAATAGGTTCATGCGCCATTTGTTTCTTCAGGATCCTGGAGCCCATGTGCACCATTGGTTTGGAATTAAGGTTTTCCAACTCCCTTAGGTGGGTCCTCCACAGTAATAGTTTTCAATTACGAGATTTCCAAAGGAATGATAACTATTTACGATATCGCTCACAGGAATCAAAGCGTAATAGTAGGTTAGAAGGATTCCTTACCAAAGTTTTACCGAAATACATTTTTAGGCATACAAACATATCTTGGAGGATTTCCCACGGACCATGGACAAACTCAAGTTTACTTGTCCTTCATTTTATTTGTAGTAGTTTAAATACTGTACAACAAAGATAATGATCATTGAACTGTCACAATTTCACCAAAAACTATGCAGTTTGAAACAGTTAACGAATGTAAATCACTAAAGTAGTGAGGAAAATTTACATACCGTACTTTTAGACGTCCCATACCATTCCGACTAACTGATGCTGTAAACTGAGTAAGAAGATATTTGTTAACAATATTTGGTGTATCTGGGAGTGGAACTTTGCGCATCAGATCTCGGTTAGGCAAATGAAACAAAGCAAACATGTGACTGAGAAACACCAAACCGGTAACATGTTTTACATAACCTTCAGACTTAGTTGTACACAAGTTATACAGCTTATTCCTTATCCACTGCGGATAGATACTTCTATTTATTAGAGTATCAACTGAATTGACATCAACAGATATAATACGTTGTACCTCCGAATTTAAAGCTTCTGAAATTCTAGGAGGAACTAATTTTTCATAAGGATAAACATCCGCAGGACAAGAAGCTTTCAAGACTATTGGTGGAAGAAGGCGGAGACGTTCATCAGTTTGAGAGTTAGAACAATCCATTTCGTTGTTAGCTAAATAAAGTGACAAAAATAGTTTTATGACATATTTGAGTGTAAAACATTAGGGCTAAGTAACAATGAACTTACGAAAGCCTTTACATATGTATTTTCACGTGACGTAAATGTATAGATTTCACCAAAGCAATTTTGATGTTACGTTACCCCTTCTAAGTCGAGAAGGGACTAAACATAGGGTCAGAATAATCAGAACTAATATCTTTTAAATGTTGGCAAACTTCAGACATATAAACAAGATAATTACAAGGGAAGGATTTACTAAGCCAAGATACAATAAAGGTACATTTAAATGACATGAAATTTTATTATTGTCAACACGCATCATCTTGAGAAAAATGAGTAATCTGAGTTCTGACAGAGAAATACATTTTACTTTTTCAACCAGCGGTCTAATTAGTAAGTAAATCGGATCATTCAAAAAATTAACAAGGAGCGTTACATTATCACATTGGATGACTCATTATTCTATCCAGAAATCATAAGAATAGCGTAGTCAAAAGATGGAGAGCAACTGAAACATGCCACCCAATATTGATTGAAACCTGAATTCTTTAACCACTAAACTATCACTCCAGGCTGAAGATAAAGGACTGAACATTCAAAACATGTTTGAAATTAAAAGGTAAAATCAACTATTTTCATGGCGTCAATGAAAAACTCATCAGTAATCAATAGGTTTTTGCTCCTGCTTCTCATGACGTAAATGTATATGTTATAGATCGTAGCAAACGCTTACTGAAAAATTTACGTACAATTAGACGGCTACGAAAATCGGACCGAGAGATTTTAGTCGAGTTAATCCTATAACAATAACGTAACTTGCTCACTAGGTGTAAAATTTTATACTTAGCTTCATACTTTAAAAACAATAAGTGTAAGCCTATTTCCAAATTTAGTTCGAATACTTAATCCAGCACTAATTATCATCAAATAAAAAGTTTCGTAAATATATAACCGGAAATAAAAATAAAAATCTAATTTGACAGGAAGTAATACAACAAGTCTTACGATTATTCAAGTTGGTTTCGTTATCATATTTTAATTTGGTTTGGCCATGCATAGCTCGATCGATCACCTGAGCATTGGTCACTGAATTCTTTTGAGTTTGATTTCTTTCCATTTCACGTAAAGCACGTTGCTTCTTGACAGAACCGAATGCATTGATGAGAGTAGCTCTCTGAAAAGCAAAATGACAGTAGCATAGTTAGGCCGAGGTTGGATTCGTATAAAATAAAAAACAATTTTAACTGACAATTCGAAATCCGGAGGATATATAAAACCGATTTCGTGTTTTACACCTATTAGTCATATTCATAGATTTATAAGCATTTCTTGACGTAATGCATGCAATTTAACTGATAGCTCCAAATAATTCTATACATTTACCGGATATAAGATTTTAGACTACTTTGATTCGCACATAATTTCCCAATATCAATAGACCTTAGAAGAACAAGAAGAAAACTCAGACTAATTATTGGAAAGGAACAATCAAAGAATGAACTTGAATTCATTGTCAAATATATCTCCTTATGCTGAATTGAAGGTAGCATCTTCCAAGTTAAAACCAGTTATATTACTTGATAATTGAAATATGAACAGAATAAACAATTTTTGACTTACATCAGCTTTCACTGAATTTGGGACTTCAATTACGTCATCTGAAAGCAATATCAGTAAAAACCATAACGTACCATCAAAACAAGGCTCAAGGAACTCCGGCTTTTTGTGAATAACTTCAACGCTTTTTGTTCGTTTGTTGTAAATTATAGTAGCATAACTACATAACGAAATAAATTTCATTGTTACTCAAGTTAAATCATATCAAGTATAGGAGCGATTACTAGACTTGGGATGCTTTAAGTAGATTTCGAAGATCAACTCTGTCAAATATGACAGTCGGTTCCGTTTGTTTCTCAATATTTACCATGAAAATTATCATACATCATTAGATAGTAGGATTAATCCCTAACTGATTGACTTAATTAAAATGTGAATTAAAGATACTGAACTTCTCACTGTGTGACATTTCGGAACAGCAACATCAGAGCCATAAACACCATCACAAGAAAAATAAGAAAAGAGCAACAAATGCCAGTAGTATAATATCATATTAGTTTAAAAACGAATGCCCATATTCTAGAATCGTAATTGGTAGGTAATAATTCAGGGCACCCGAACTCTTCCACTTCTGTAAATGTGTAATGTCAGCTTACATCTGATCGAACAAAAAAATATTAATGTTTGCTAATCTTAAAAAGTCTCATTAAGTTTGCTAATTTCTGGAAAGCATAGTAAAACACAGAAATAAACTAACTGTACACAAAAATATGTGAGAAACTAACGTACATTAAAGAATGGATGATTAGCTATAGATTTATTAATTCATTCACACAATGGGAAAACTTAGTAAAACGATACACTGAGGAACGTATCATAAAAAAGGAACATCATGTTTTTAAACTAGGTCCCTAATGAGGAGCGTCATCGGAAGTAGTTAGTAATCTTTAATCTTCAACTGATTGTGTGCATGGATTTCAAATTTCCGAAAGAACAAATGATGTGTAAATCTACAAAAGTCGCCTGCTACCATAATAATAAATCTAACCTTGTCCCGATGCTCTACAAACAAGATTTTTACACTAAAAGATAACGGGCAACCTACAAACAAATCCACTTGCATCACTTTGGGAGAAGTCTTTCAAATTTTAAACAAATCAGCAATTTAAACAAAATGTACGAACAAGCTCCAGGTTATTAAAGCCTAATAATTTAGGAGTACAAACATTGACCAAGAATTACAATATCTACCATCAGTTTAAAATTATTACAAAACCAAGATGATTCAAATTTAAAATACAATTGCCACATATAATGAAAAAAACTCTTACTTAGAATCCCTCAAAGGAGACTTTAACTTGCTACTGTAAAGCACATTACCGATTTGACAACTCTAGGAATCCAAATAAAGTTAATATTAATTGAATAATTACCACAATGGACTTTTCGACATTCTGGGGGCATACATCAACATGTGCTGGTAAAACATCTGTAACCGTCATATCGCTTGTTCCTAGTGAAAAAGGTGCTTTTGAATGTTAGAAAAAACACTACTCTTACCTGGGAAAAAATTCATTGGTTCCATTTACAGTACTTTATAATGTTCGGAAGACAATACAACCTAATAAAAGTGTCAGATGGGTCGAAAGTAAGATAGTTTGTCCCACGGACAAAAATAGAATTATATTCCCTTCAATACAATATGTGATATTTAGCAGCAAGCTTTATAGCAATAAATTCTGTCCTAATTCCATCTATATCAATATCCTAAAAGCAACAGGAGATATGCATTTGAATATCCCGCTGATTTTTAACAAGTCTTATCAAAAACCTAAGGTGATAGATTAATTATAGTATTGAGAAGAGCATTTGGTAACGCTGAAATTACGAACCAAAGTCAGCGGCCTGAACCGTACAGGTCACGTTTAGCTGGATCTCATAAAATACGAAAACCAGATCCCATATATGACGAACAAGTTGTCGTTTATGAGATCAAGTGGTTGCTTAGCCTTTGGAGTCACCTTACATATAGTGGCTCATACATAAACTTGTTGTACACTATACACTGAGTAATTGAAAAGCCTGGAGACTGGGTTTGACTAAAACTATGTAAGAACGTTGGAAGTATCATCACACATTCCAGAAAAATGGGAGCTCTAATAAGAAGACATGAATTAAGCATATAATTTTGATTGGATTACAACCACAGTTAATTAAAGTTCTCAAGCCGTGTTAACAGTTTATGAAGGGAAATATACGTAGGCGGTAGTGAAAGAACACTAGATATACGAGAAAATATCACATTAAGTACGAAGAAGCTAATCACGAGTTTTTATTACAGTAACGCAGTAGCCAAATAACGCGCACAATTTTATGAGAAGTTAGCTCAAATAAGCTCAGTGCCCATTGATTAAAATGAGCCAATGTGGAAAAACCGTATTAAAATAGGTCTTTTATAAACGAAAGTTCGAAAAAAGAAGTTCCTTCTGTTCTCCACCTCTCAAAAAGCAGTGGGCAGAAAACGCCCAGAAAACTTATCCCAAGGTTCGGTCTGTTTCTAGCAGAAAAACAAAAACTCATCAATCCCAGTAGAGCCATATTCCAAAATTTAAACGGCTTGGAATGTGTTCATAAATTTATACATAAAAATCATTGCCACGCACATCACTTTGGCTACACAAAGTGGTTCGATATACCCCCTACTGTAGTTCAGGAAGAAGGTTCGCACACTCCTCCGTAAGAGAAGAATGTGGGAGAGACTTTAATTAATAGGTACTGACGAGGGAAAATCGCAACATTGGAAAGCTCGAAATATTTGTGCCTCGATCTTCCACAAGTCTAGAAGATTATGCGAAGGAAAACTCGTTAAGGGGTCCTCAGAATACCTTGAACGCTTATACTCGAACATGAACCAAGGGATTAAGGGAAGAGGAAATATTACAACATAATGGGGAGACAACAGTGCTGTATCATTAGTGAAGGATGATTATGGCGAGGCTAAGGCATTCTCAAGTTACTTTATCAATGTATAAACCGTTCAGATACCCTCTCCCTCAATTCGTACAAACCCAACACACACAGGTCATAGTGATCACTAAAGAACTTGATGTCTTTGGTTTGTTAAATGAGCTTGATATAAGAAAACCCGTGGGACTAGATGAAATGCATCCCAGGTTACCAGATGAATTAGCACATTTTTTCGCAAATCCCTCAAGCATGTTTTAATCTATCTGTAATACAGGATCGATTACCAAAATACTGAAATAACGATATTGTGAGTCCTGTCTTCGAGATAAGTACGAGACATAAACCTGAGAACCATGTACCCACAATCAGAATAGTTGTTAAAATTTTGGAAAAAAAATATTCGGAAGGAGTTGTTTAGGTATCTAGACGAAAACCAGATTCTTTATGAACAGGTTGTTCATGTGTCATTAAATTATTAGTACTCCGTGAAATTCGGTACGCTCCTAAAGACCGAAAGTTACCTATATATGTAGCGTACATAGACTTTAGCAAAGCTTCTGACAAAGTTCTTCACAAACGGCTGTCATATGAGTTATATAATATCAGGATTGGAGGCTGTAACGACCGAACTACCAGTATTCGGTTTGAACGCAAGACTGACGAACCAAAAAATATTCGAATAGGTCAGACTACGATCTTCCGTATAGCACGCCAAGCGTTTTTGAGACACTCGTATTAAATTATATCAAAACACAAATTCTGTGCTCAATTTATACAGTTCTAATTTAAGAAATAGAACAAATTATATCAACAATACAAAATACCTCAAACGGTACAACCTGTGCTATACAGTCAGAAGTTTCTCTAACGCAATGTAGTGCACTAAACAATAAAAGAAACAGTCAATACCAAAGGATTTGATACCTGATAGTCAACAAATATATTCCCAACAAACGGGATCAAATATCTGTCTGCAGGGATTCCAGAAATCCTCTCAAGCAGACAGTCAAAAGGTTAACAGTCACACTGAATCACGCCGTGACCTTGAGCTTAGTCAAACACGACCTCACTGTCAATAGTCCGGCAACATGCAATAAAAACTAGGTAACAAAAATATAAGTCTTTAATCAAAACCACATAACAAAAGTTCAAACGAGTTCTGAACAAAGGATAAAATATATAACAGGGAGAAGAAACAAATAAATGAAAATAATGTCCAACAAAAAAGGCTGTGGAGTGACTTTCATCGTTCTTTTTCCGTTACAGAGGCAATTTCTTAATGTGGATAGAGGACTTCCTATTTAGGCGTCAACAAAAAGTACGGGTGAACTCAAAGTTGTCTGGCCGGGAAACTGTGTTCAGAGGAGTGCCTCAAGGTGTAGTTTCAGCCCAGTATTGCTTCTCTTGTATGTAAGTGACCTTGTTATAAGACGGCGATGTCAAGATATGGAGAGCAATGAAAAGTAGAGGTGATAGTTTAGAGCTTCAAAATGACTCGGAGAAATTATCTGGTTGGTCTAAAATTTGGCGGTAGCCGAGAGATGCTTTCAAGTGAATTACGATGCACTGTAGTCACCAAGGCATAGATACATACACGGTAAATAAAATTAGTCTACTTGTTGTACAGACAAACAATGACTTAGAAGTAATCGGTAGCCAAAGCTTGAAAACTGCTGCACACTGCCATGCCACAGACGCCAAAGGTCTCAAAACCATGTGGTTAATACGTATATTTTTTAGCCATGTTGACGCTCAAACGTTTTTGACTCTATATACAGTATTCGTTCGCCTAAACTCGAGTAATGAATACAAGGGGCTATCCCCTGCCAAAAAAGAGACAGCAAGCCGATGGAAAAAGTCTAAAGAACCTAAACTAAGCTGCTTCCCTGAATAAAAAATCTCCCGTATGGTGAACGACTGGCTAAACTAAACCTATTTCCATCGTTATATAGAAGAACCAGATGTGACTTGACCACGTTTTTAAATTACTTAAATGATAAATCTGCATCTGATATATCCTCGTTTTTCTTTTCTTCAAAAACGGAAAATTAATGAGGACACTAATAATTTCCACAGGCTCAGAAAAAATCACTTTTCAGCCGACTACCGATCTTCTTGTTGAATCATCAGTGGATGGAATTCATTACCTCAATAAGGGATTGAAGTTTCGTCCGTTTATGCTTTCAAAAGAAATTTGGGTCAAGTCAGAGACCATCATTGCCACGATTAACGAACACCACTCAGTCTCCTGTCCTTTCCAGACTAAGACGGTCGATCAAAGGTATAAATACAACTACAGGCAATAGAATCCAGGAGTTGATGACTCAACGTGAAAACGCTTATTCTATAGAAAGTGTGTACGTTCTCAGCCTTTGAACTCGTCTGCCATATCGTATGAACTGTCCTTATCAAGAAGAAGGAAATGGAGGATACATTGATTCGAAAATCATTTTTTGGTGTTCTGTACTTCAAAATTAGATTACCTCTTATTCTACTGTAGGACAGAGTAAAGAGGTCTAACTTTTCAAGTTGCTCTGTCCATTTTAGCTGTATTTTGTACTTTTTGCATGTTATCCGAGTCACAGGTTAATCATGAGTTTACAACGTGAACTCCGTTTCCAAGTCTGGATCTCACTAACATTGTGTACACTGCGGTGAACATGCTTATATACAACTTGGTAAATGACCATCCTAAAGACTACACAACTCTGAAAACCTTAGCTGAAAACGTACGATGGTAAGCCACAGTCCCGAAGTAATGGCTTAATGTTACCCCTAGATCACTGTGAGACATGAATGCAAGCATCAACGCTTTCCCAACGATGTAACTGCTTGTTTTCGCATCTCTGATTCACATTTAAACTACTTGGTTGCGTTGACCGGGATCAATCACCTTTTAGGCTAGCTAATTAAAACGTCCAGGTCAACCTGGAGTACACATACATCTGCACTCCCCGTTATTTCTCGACACGTTTTGACGTCATCGACATAAAGTGGAATCGTAGATTCTATGATACTTTGGAGTTTATTTACATGCTGGACAAAAAGTAAAGAGCCTCGAAAAGAGGTTTGCTGTACTCCACTAATTACTGGTTTACATGAAAGACATTTGGTGTTCATTATTACTTTCTGTCAACGACCTACTAATGAATCTTTGTTCCACTTTAGGAGAGTTCTGGCAATTTCCATAACCTCCAGCTTCAGGTGAAGTCTGTTGTGCTTCACTTTGCCAAACGCTTCGCTGAAGACGATGTAGACAACCTTCAGTGATTTTCTATTGCCTAACGACTTCATCCATGTCTCTTCCTCCTTCAATAAAGTGGTTTACTATCCAAGATAATCCTTTCCTGGAGCCATGTTGTCCCCTTTTAAACAAGTTCTTGGTTTTTACTGTCTTCACATTGGCCTTTTTGATTATTGTTTCCAGCATTTTAACTACGATACTGGTGAGCATGACACGTCTATAGTCTAATGGAAGTTGTCTTGATCTTTTGAACCGGAGTGATAATTGTATAGGAGGGTGATAGTAATCCCGGCATTACGAGTACACAGTTTAATCACACTTTTGGATACTTTTAAGGGAGATGTTATAGTCTATTTATGTGTGTATTTTTTCCC